GCTTCATGTTTAGCCTCAAGCAATTCAAAACAATGAATTCTAACGTGACCCTTAAGCCCACGATGATGACAAATAGAAATGAATGTACTCTTGGCTACACAATTATGGCACAAAGAAGGAGATGAATTGATATTACCCTAGCCAAGAAACCATGAGTACTCTCATATTTGGAAGTTGAGGTTTTAGATGTTGAAATGAGTCCTTTGATAAAGCCAACTCCTCCTTGAGCATTGATCATTGGTTGAGTACCAAGATCCACGTCCACACTCAGTGAACTTGTAATTTTGATACTTTTGGACTCCAATGATGTAAGCTTCACCTCAAACTCTTTCTTGGACTTTGGACAAGTCTCCAACTCTCTTTTAAGAGGACCATTCTTCTCTTTCAACTCATCATGTTTATGAAGCAATTGGATTCTCTCCTTGTCGCATGTGGAAAACTTGGAGATCAAAGACACCATCTTATTTGAGAGTACACTTACTTGCGCTAGAGCTTCCATGAGCTCTTGCTCTACTTTCTCCTTCCACTCCCTACTCAACCTGAGCTTAGTTCACAACTTGATATTCATCTTTGTCAAGGTGTAATTTCATTTATACAATATCTCATATGCTTCACGAAGAGTTATACCATCTATTTCTTCTTCCATACTAGATGACTCACTAGCACCATTTGAAGACTGAGAAGTGGAGGTTCCATTCTCACCCTTATCAATAGAAGAATATCAAACTATAGACACACCATTTTGACAACCATTAAGACTTGGGCACCCCACCCTGAACACTTAATGATGAAATGTTATCCTATGCAATCGTTCGAAACTTCAGCAAAATGATTCAGTTTCAAGCTTTAAAACCTAAACCTTGCACCCCCTCTGGACCAAAACCTTATTTTTTCTAGCCTAAACCACTTAGAGAAAAGTTGGCCAACAAGTGCTCGGCAGGCCATTTTCAGGTGGGTGGTTGTACTTTTTCATGGTCGGCCGACCATATTCAACATAGTAGATAGTTTGACAGTAGCCAGTTGTTGCCTTGTGCAGGCTTGAACCAGCTGTCTCATTGTTGATATTTTCAACCTGAGAACCTGTTTTTCTATAAATATAGGGCCCCTCCTCATGGTTTGGGGTTAGAAAATTTTGCCAAGAGCCATAACTTGTCAAACACACTTCCCTTCTCTCTTGCAATATACATACACTATACAAAAACCTTGTAAGCTTAAACTTGAGGCTTTTGCTGAGGTTCTTGAAGATAATTTCAAATCCAAGAGGGTGTTAAGCTTTTGGTTTGTTAACCAAGAAGAACACCCTCTCTTTAAAGGGGTAATCTTTGAACTCTGTAGCCATCTTTTCTCCCTCTTTTTCTTGTATTTTCATATTGATTTCAGAGTTATTTTTATGCTTAAAATATAATTTAATGTCACAAAAGGAGGAGGGGTTAGCTACCCTTCCCTAAGCCTTGTTCCATAGCTTGTTGCTTTGCCTTTTTCTACTTTGTTTCTTTTGGTTTTGGCCACTCTTTTTTTTTTTTGGAGTTTAGGGGCTGTTTAGTGTGTTTATTTAATTTTATTTAATTTATGCTTTGAATATTACACTTGTGTTATTGTAAGTCCTCATGGATTTGGTGTATAGGCCATAACTTCCAATCCATATGAGTTGATAGTCTTTTCTTTCTCTTTTTATAGCTTTCATATATATTCATGTTATCATAATCACCCACTTTTCATTCATAATTTGCAACCTCCCTCATTTCTTTGCTTCTTTAGATTAAGAGTTGTATCAAACAAAAGATTGTCGCTCAAGGCATAAAAAAGAAACCCCTCATGCTAAATGGTTTAATCTCCTCAGGGGTTCATTACTAGGGCATTACATCTCTATTATGCTAAGCATGAACTCTTGTTTGATACCTCCCTTTATCACCAGTGCATTTACTTCTAAAGGACTAATTTTCTAACTAGACCCTTGGAAATCATAAAGGAAATATTCATTATAGCTCATTATTGGGTTTGGATTTAGAGTCATTATCACTCATTTCGGGTCTTAACTCCAAATTTATTATTGCTTGTAAATGGGTTGAACTCTACCTTTGTAATTTCTCCCATAGAAAAAGACTCGAAGAGTTCATTTCTCGGGTCAAGTCATGCTTGTTAGTCTTTCTTGCTTTGAACTTAGTGGACGTAATCATCACCTTTGGACAAAAAGAGAAAAGATAAGAAATTGGAAACGTAAAGCCAAAAGGCTAATAAAAATTGGACTAAAAAGGGTAAAAATGTAATAAAATTTGGTTAGGTTCAGTCAGACGTTATACTGAACCTGTTGCTTCTAGAATTATCGCATACTTTTTAGTGATGTTCAATGATTCATGAGGCGAGTCTACCCCTCCCCTTGAGGTAACTCCATGATAGGGAGGAGGTATTTTTTGTCTTTCATTGCATTGATTAAACTCTTGTCCCATCATTTCTAAGATCATTACAAAACAAATTTATGATGATTGATAATTTGAGAATCGAATCTACTCCTCCCTTGATTATCTTCATGATAGGGAAGGGCGGAGAGGATAAATATCTCCTGGAAATACTCTGTCTTGCTATGTTTCAGCTCTATTGCAACAGTGTATTTCCTAGAAACAATGGCCGGCCAGCAATTATTCTGTATGGCCGGCCACTCTTTTAGGCTGGCCAGCCACCCATTTTGTATAGGCAGTGGTATTTTTGCAACAAAACAAAGCAGATCCTGAGGCCAAAACATAACAATTTTCTTACTACAAATAGAGCTGGTTCTAGAAGCAAACAAAGAGGTTTCCAGAAGATGTTCTCAGTTTTGAACGTGCGATCCCTCACCTCCAGTTCAAGTCTACTAGATTAGTAGCTTTAGTATTCGTATGTATAATTAAATAGTTGCTTAGCTTCTATTCGAACTTGTAATAATTAATTAGTTCATTTGTGTTTATAACAGTTAAATAATTAATCCATTCATTAGTGTTTGTAATAATTTAATTAGGACGTTCATTCGAACCCTCTTGTGCGAGGGAAAAATTGTAAATAGTTGTATGACTTCCAACCCTTTCTTTCTCCTTTTATTTATATGTTTACAATGGTTGCATATAGTATCATGTTTTCATTTCATATCATTGCCATGATTTGTATCTATTTTTGCATGCATTGAGGTTCGGTTCATCATTCTTGAATATCATTGTCATTTCCCACTTACTTGAATACGTGCGTTACCGTATGCTTTGAGTTAATCCATATGATATGTTAATAAGCCAAACCTAATAGTTGCATTCTTGTATGTGCTGTATTAGTCATGTGCATTGTGAGAAGCATGCATCTTTCTAATTATTTTCTTTTCTTTGGCGTGCCTCGGTTGAATACTAGGTGAGCATTTTTTCTTTAACATATTACATGTGTGTTTGTGTTGCCATATCAAGCATACTACCATGACGTTGCGTGCTTATTTCAAATATCTCTTTAAATGCCTGTGGATGAAGGCTATTTCGCTTAAATTAGAATGATTTTGATTAAATGTACATATGAGCTTGCTTCTCATTCAAGTAGCACATATTCAAAACTCTTTTCAAAAACAAATAAAAATCAAAGCATTCAAAGTGGGTGACGTAGTCTATACTTGTGTGTCTTACATAGTAAATTAGCATAATAATTATAACATGAGCATATAATGTTGATAAAAATCATATTATGATTAGTAAAGGTCGATCTTTGATCAAGTGAGTGGGGTGCTCAATTCATAACTTTCCCCTCTCATATCTAAGTTCTCAAACCGAGACAACTTTGGTTATGACGGATAAGTAGCATTTGGCACGAGTCACGGGTTTCCTAAATTTTCAAAAAATATTTAGGTGGCGACTCTAAAATATGGCAATGCAATCCATTTTTGACATCTCTGATGATAAATAGATTTTCTAAGATTTTTTGGATTTGGATTCTTATTCATTTTTCTGTTTCATATTGCACTTGTGAAACCAGATTCAGAACTACGGGAGGTCGAACTGTCGGGTTATTGTACCGAGGAGACTAAACCCCTTTGAGGAGCACGAAAAACCAGCTACAATTTCTAGCGACTCCACTGGGGATTTAGAGAACTTGTCTTGGACTTCATGATGTGAAATTTTATCTACATATATATGTTCGTTGCATTGCATTTGCATTGTGCTCTAAGTGTGACAACCCTCACCACTGTTTACTGATAAACCACTGATTACTGTTAAACTGAGACTGATTATGATAATTGACTGAATTGACTGAAATCATGAACTGATTGATTTTCTGTATCCGTTTAAGTGCATTTCTATCTGTTCGACTGTTAAACTATCTGTTCACGTTTTATGTTTAAACTACAAATTGAAGGCCTTATCGGCGGCCAAACCAAAAATGGATTAGTGTTATGTGATGGTTAGAATTTATAGGATTTTATGGTATAATTGCTTGAATTTGGATTTGGTATGATTAAATTAGATTAAAATAAGTTAAATTACACAAGTTGCCTTATGTACCATATTGCCATGTTAGTGGACCATTTAGGCAATACATGTTGAGCCTTATTACATGCAAACACAACATTTCTTCAGCCCATTCTTGTGGTCATAGGTCGTAGTTTCTCACTTTTACGACTTGCTTCTTTTGCATGTCGTAAATACTTTTCCAACCACGACGTGTCTATTGCGTAGGTCGTGAATGGTAATAACGATGATTTTTTACGACTTGCAATGAACGTTGTAAATAATAAAACTTTCAACGACGTGCATATGGCGTGCCGTTAATACATCAATTATGCATGATGCACATATGCTAGTCGTGAAAACTGAATACTTTTCACGGCGCACACAATGCCCATCGTTAAAAGTATTACACTTTTTACAACACACACATCGCATGTTGTTAAAAGTATTACCTTTGCACGACACACAATGCATGTCGTAAATTATATGATAAAAAGAAAAAAAAAACACCAATATGAAATTTGGGGCGCCAATATTTTTTTTCGCAAAATAACAAATTTGGGATGCCAACATCATAAGGGTTTCAATCTATTTCTCTATCTAATGATGATGAAGGCCGAATCTTGCTAGGGTGATCATCTCTGCTCTTCTCTTCTCTTCGCTTCGGTTGCTAGGGTTATTGAACCAGTCGACTACTAGGTTTGCTTCTTTTTCTTCCTCTCTCTCTCTCTCTCTCTCTCTCTCTCTCTCTCTCTCTACAAATCCCCTTTTTTCTCTGTATATTCGAACCTTGGGATTATCCACCATTACCCTCTCTTTGATAACCAGGTTTTCCCCTTTCTTTCTCTATATCTCTCTACATATGTCCATACATGTATATCTGATCTATTTGTCCCTTCTTCTAAGTTCAATCGAAACCCTTTTATTGTTTTATTATATTTATCTATTTGATTTTCTTATTTGTAAAATATAAAGATTTTGATTTGATTTTCTCAGCAATATATATATATATATATATCCCCTGATCTTCACAATTCCTAAAAATTCCGTAAAACCAACCCCCATTGACACAATCATTTCAACCCCTGCCCTAAAAATCCATTTCGTATCTTTGTTTCTAATACATTGATTGGAAAATTTCTCTAATCAGATGAACACTGTAATGGCGACTGCGATGTGAAGTTCTAATTTGTATTAAGCCATGTGAAGTTCTATTTTAGAACTCATTTTATTATGTTTTTGGTTCCTATTCTTGAAAAGATCTCTTCTTCTCTGCAGAACTGTTCTTTCATTTCCTCCAATCTATTGTTTGTGCCTACAAAGGGTGATGCTACTGTTTGTGATTCTTGTTTTTCTTTTTTTATTTATTTTTATTTTTTATATATCAATTTCTTCTAACAAGTCCTATTTCGCATCTGGGTCTGTTCAATTTATTGTTTTTACCTTGTTTTGATCTGGGTTTGCTTTTTTGTGCTTTGAATTTGATGGATTGCTTTTGAGATTTAATGGGGTTGTTTTAATTTACTCTACTCAGATTTTGAAATTGTTGATTGTTTCATTTTATTGCTCTAGTATTTTGTTTGTTTTAGTAATTAATTTCTTGAGGTTCTCTGTTGTTTGTTTAGTACAAGTATAAATTTGAGCTATTTCACTTATATATAAATATGCATTGTAGTTATGTGTTAGTTGTAATGATAGGAGAATGAGTATAAGAAAGATCAAGGAGCACAAAACAGTCCACCAAAAAGACAAGAAGGAAAACAAAATTGTAGTGTATATTATAGTTTTCTAGGAAATACAATGGTTTCTACAAAGATCTACATGTTTAGATTTGGTTTAGTCTCTATTTCTCGATGCTGTATATTTGTAGAATAGTTTTCCGTTCATGATTGGAGAAGTTATAGATAGTTTTTTATTTTTTATAATATTTGTATGTGTCATTGTTGAATTAGTTTTAGATCAACCAAAGTAGCATTTCTCTCCTTACTATTTCATGTTACAGATACTGAGAAACAAAGCATTGATGTAAATCCAGATGTGCACCGATTCACCTTCAATTCAAATAGGGACTAATCCATCGAATGCTGAAGCTCCTGTAAACGAGGATTAAGCTCTACCACCTTTAGATGATCTTGATTTGGGAGTTATAGAAGGTCTTCCTCCAGATCTATTTTCAGAAATTAATGATATGTATGATGGGAAGTTGATTAATTTGATTTCAAAAAAGAAAGGCAAAAATGTGGATGCCAGCAATTCTCTGTGCAGTATACGACAGGAGAGAGTACAAGGTAACCTTTTCTGACTTGCTTATTCAAGAGCAGCTTTTTCTCTTTGTACTAGTACCTAATAGACATGTTGATTTGTCAATTTAGTTGCAATAAATGAGGGTAAGGGACCCTTTTGGCTGGATCCAGCTTGTGTAAATGAAAGCCCTGTGGAGGATAAGGTATCATTCTCATTTGCTTAAATAGCTTGCTTGAACAATAGGTTTCTATTTTCTCTCTTCCTTCGGATTATTAAATTTTCCAAATTCCACTTGTGGCTTTGATCAAAATCAAATGAGAGAATATATTACACGACACTTTTCAATATTCACCAGTCTTTGATTAATTATGATTTCTGATAATAATGTTAGTTCATGTATGTGGGCCTTTATCTTAATTAATTGACAAGTTACATTTCATGAGGCTGCATGCTCTATAGTTTGTAAGAAATCTATTTTATTTGCACATTAATGCAGAAAAGTCAGGAAGATGTCTTTAATTTTCTTGGTCATTAACTTGTTGTGTTTGTATTGATTAGTATTGGTGTTTATTTTAAGAAGAGAATTGTCCAGTTGAGAACAATCAGGGAGAGCGTTCTTTTGAAGCGGGACCCTCAAATTCGGTCTTTTTCACTTCAGTTCCTAATAAAATTGATTTAATGCCTTCATCTCTAAGTCAAGTAGATATCTCAGTGTTACAACAACTACCTAAGGAATTAAGAGTTGACATACTTGAGGTGCTTCCTACACATAAGAGGTCAGAATGTACATCAGATGCTACTTTGGGTCCTACATCTAAATTCGAAGAATCACCATGTCTGAAATGTCCTGAGAACGGCCTGGGTCAATGAATTCTATTTCAAGGAATGAACTTTGGGTTGGAAATCCACCAGAGTGGGTTGAGAAGTTCAAAGATAGCAATTGCTCGATCTTCAAATTTCTTGCGGACATGTATTACAGATCAAGTTCGAGGGGTCGTCTGTCGTCTACTTTGCAATGCACTCTTTTAGAATCTGAACTTTATAGTGATGCAAGTAATGATGGATGGGATGATGCTATTGGTTGCTTGTGCGATCTTCTCAAGCAGTATATTAAGCTACAAATAGAAACAGATATTGAAGAGATCTATGTTTGCTTTCCTCTTCTTTGAAGGTAATGTGCAAATTTAAATGAAACAACCATGTATGATGAAAATCTGCTGATGTCTTTTTTTTTGGTTGCATGTGTAGTTTGTAAAACATAAAATATCCTTGAAGAAAAGGACATACTTCAATGGATAGACTTTCTGAAAAATGTTTGTTTCGACATTGCTACTCTCACATCACTTCATTGATAACTTTCCTTAGGTGCTTAGTAGTATTCAATAAGTGCCTAATTTGTGTTGGACAGAATCAATGCACTAATGATTTTTGCTTCCTTGCCCATGAATTTTCTAGTTGGTTGTCTCATCAGACTAGGATAAATTTCATTTATATCCAATATCTTTCAATCTTGTTTGCTTCAAATCAAAACTAATTTTCCATGTGTGGGATTTATGCAAATAAATTTATTTTAGTCCAAACAATCCTTCTTTCTATATGGACAGAGCACTTTACTCACGTCACTGACCTTTCACTCTTTAGTCTGATAATATGTTGAATTTTTTAATCTTTGAATACCTTTCTCTTCCTGGATTGTTTCCATTGACTAGCTTGCTATAGATGTCATTCCATGCTTACTATTCTTTGAGCATCTTTCTTTGTCTAGCTAAGTTGTTTATTGAAGTTTAGACATGTTCCTGCAGGTTTACTACAATGTCAAAAATTTTCTTTCAAGTTTACAATGTCGTCTTTCCTCACCTTCAGGTTAGTGCAGCTACTTCTATTGTTATTATTTTTATGTCAAGTGTTTCAAAAAATATGGCATGCTTTCTGCTAGCTTTCCCTGTTGGCATATTGCCCAGAGGAAAGGAGGTCTCCACCTTGTTTTACTTGGTTACTTTCCCTGTTGACATTTTACTTGGCATATTGTTATTATTATTTTTACTTGTTTTACTTGATATGAGTGCTCTAATGAAGCCTTTCTCTAAAGAGTAGAAAAAATACTATTTACAGGTCCATGGTAGATTTCAGCAGGCTAACTTAATGATCCTTATAGTGCTCTAACTTAGCTATCATTATAGATGAATTATTGGCTAGCACTTTTCCTTTTATCAGTCGGTTAGAGGGTGGTCTCTATATCATTATTTTCTTGTCCTAATTGATATGTAGTTCTAATAGAGGGTTGAAATTTTGTGCCATAATTTTTTCCCCCACATTTATACGGTAAGTTTATATGTATAGAAAACTTATGTTTGGCTCTTTCATAGTTTTGGTTCCTTCATTTCTTTGGCTCTGTCATATTTTTTGCTCTTTCATGAAATGCTCCATCAGACTTGAACCAACTTTCTCATGCGTCGCAGCTTGAGTTTTTATGTACACACTGTGCTTTGACGCTTATATATACAATTAGTACTCATATTTTGAAGAGTTCCACCAGTTCTTTAAGTTTTATGTAAATTCCAAAGAATTTAATGATTGTCTCAAGCTTGCTGGATTGTTCATTTTTTGAAGTCTTCTATGTTGAACCTAGTTCTTAAGGTATCTAAACCTTCAGTTTTTCTCATATTCTCTTCCTCTTTTTAAATTTGATTTTTCTCTTGAGCTTCTTATGGCGTGGATTTAGTAGCAAACTATTGAGATCTTGAATTTTTGCTAATTTTTCATTATGACATTTATGGGGCCATTGAATTTTGTTATTAATTTTGGAAATGTTTTGTTGATGTTTTAAAATTTCTTGATGATTTTGTAATATACCTCAGGAAATATTTTTGCCCCTGAGTCGTTGGTTTTTGTACTTATGTGAAGTTTCCTTGGTCATGCAGACAAGAAATGCAATAGGGTTAGTTGCTCCAGCTATTACCGCGGGTTTAGGTGCCTTAAGACATACAATGGGCACCCTCGTCCCTGTGATAGGAGCAAGTGGATTTGTTACAGCTACAGTTGCAACTGTAACTATTATAGGAACTATTATCGGTAATTTTAGCTAATCTCTTAATAGTTGTCGATATGCTTAGAAAGTTAGATATGCATAATTTTGGATGGTTTAAACTTTTTATACAGTTTAGAACTTAAGGATATAGTTTTCGAATGTTTGGAATGTATAAACAATTGTTAAATCTTTATAATTTATGGATATGTTTCTTTTTGATATTTCAAACAATATTTTGGTGGTTGATTGATGTTTTGTGATGTTTGTTTGTAATGTTTGTTAGATTGTACAAAATTGGTCAAATAGAACCTGCTAAATTTTAAAATAAAATAAAAAAAATTGCATATTCTACGGTAGGCAAAATAAGTTGTTGTATTACATATTTTACGGTGCGCAATCAGCGTCGTTATTTGTCTCACCAATTAATGACATGCAAAAGTAGTCGTAGAAAAAGTAACAACGACGCACAAAATATGTTGTTAAATAGTTTTTAACGGTGTACTATAACATGTCGTAGAAAAAGTAATAACGATGCACAAAATCTGTCGTTAAATAGTTTTTAACGGCGTACTATAGCATGTCATAGAAAAAGTAATAACGACACACAAAATCTGCCGTCAAATAGTTTTTAACGGTGTACGAAGTATGTCGTTGAAAGTGAATGATTTTCCATGATTGGTCATAATATGACGTGCGCTGCAGGTCATAGAAGGGTTTTCACGGCATGCATTGCGCGGCGTAAAAACCTTTTTTTGTTGTAGTGATGGATAAGCATGTTGTTTGCATGTGTGATGCATTGCATGTGTTTGGATCAGATGTTAATCTAAACACGAGAAATGTGGGACGTTTCATACTCATAGTGATGAAACGTGTCACATTTCTCGGTCGCCGACGCCCTTGATTGTGCATGATAGGGTGGAGGCCTTTCGAGTCTTATGTGTGCTTTTACGAAGCTTGCACAAGCTTGATTCTTTGGCCACCATGCATTGAAAATGCTTGGTTGGCTACTCGGGAGTCCAGTGCCATACTCCTTTGAGCTTGAGATATGATAAAGAGTGTGGAAATGCATACATTTCCTTGCAAATACACTATCTTGCCTCTGTTTGTGCTCTGTTGCAGCAACGGGAGGAATTTCAGTCCTCAAGGTGTTCTTGAGATCAGAAAGAAGTAATATGGAAATCGGCGTACTTTTCAAAGATTCAAAAGAGTGCAAACAAAGGCGTCTTGAGGCACGGTGGTGGATTTCCGGGAGGACTCAACCGAGCATGCATATCTCCCTCGTCCGTGAGGCCTTTTATTGCTTTTGTTAGCTAGTTGTAGTTAATTACCTATGCTGTAATTAATTTTGCGTAGTGCTTTGTAATACTCTAATTAGCTTAGATTAGCTAGTTATTCAATTTGATTTGTAATAATTAATTAGTTAGAATAGTTAGTTAATTAATTGGTTTGTAATAGTTAGCTTAATTAGCGTAGCTAGTTAGCTTTCATTTTATTCAGACCCTCCGTTGAGAGGGAAAATGTTGTAATAAGTGTGTGTGTGTGTGTGTGTGTGTGAATGTCTTCCAACCCCACATCTTTCTCCTTTTTATTTACCAGCTTTTGATGGTCAGCTTTAAGGCATGTTTCAATTAGCGTACTTATGCTTTGCATGCGTGTATCATTCATTCGTATTGCATGCACCGGGCTCGGCGCATCATTCAAACTGCATTGTATTTCAATACACTTCTTTGAATACATGTATCAAATGTCGCATTCATATGCCATCTTAGATAGCTGAGCCTACTTAGTTGCATTGTGCATGTGTTACATTAGGCATCTTAACTTAGCTAGGATCATGCATTGATTTCTAATTGGTTTTCTATTTTGGCTCGGAGTACACTATAAGTGTTTGCGTTTTAGCATACTGCATGAGATATGTATGTTACCATGAGGCTATGTGCTTAATTTCTTAACTACATGAATGCCTGTGGATGAAGGCTTCATTGCTTAAATTGGAACAATTCATCAAAATGTGCGTTTTAAGCCCACTTTGCGGAGTGGCAAATCATGTTGTTTTAAGCCCACTTGAGGGTGGAAAATCCGCGCTTTAGCCTACTTGTGAACAAATCCGCGCTTTAGCCTACTTGTGAGTAGCAACTTCAAACCATTTTCGAAAAACAAACATGAGATGTTTTGTTCCAATTCTTGCGATTGAGTCTATACTTGTATGTTGTGCGTATCACGTAGTAAATTAGATTAATAATCGGAATAAGAACGCATGTGTTTTCATAAACAACATGTCATGTGTAGTAGAGGCCGATCTTTGATCGGGCGAACGGGGGTGCTCATTTCAAGACCTTCCCCTCTCGTACCCAAGTTCCCGAGCCGAGGCAACTTTTGGTGATGACGGACACGTGGCCTTAGGCACGAGTCAGGGTTTCCTAAATTTTCCAAAAACAAAACATTTAGGTGGCGACTCTAAAATCTGGCAAAGCAGTCCATGTTTGGCGCTTTTTGATTAAAATCGATTTTTCAAAACGATTTGTCAAATTTGGACTCTTTGGTGATTTATCAGTCTTACATTGCACTTTGTGAGATTAGATTCAGAACCGTGACAGGAGTCCGAACTGTAGTAGCTAGAACCACAATTCGCGCCTTCGCGCGCGGAGCGAAGTTCAAGCGGTCTACAATAAGAAAATGGAAAGGTAAAGTAAAAAGTCTAATAAAATTGGAGTAGAAAGGGGTAAAAAGATAATAATATTTGATTAGGTTTAGTTAGACGTTATACTAAATCTATTGCATCTTGGATCATCGCATACTATTTCAGTGATGTTTGATGATTCATGAAGCAAGTCTACCCCCTCCCTTAAGGTGACTCCATGATATGGAGGAGGTATTGTCTGTCTTTTGTTTCATTTATTGAGCTTTTCTTCTATTGTTTCTAAGATTAGCAAGCAATAAATTTGCAATGATTGATGATTTGAGAATTGAATCTATTTTTCTCTTGATTATTTTAATGATAAAGAAGGGCAGAGAGGATAAAAATCTCTTGGAAACACTCTGTATTACTCTGTTTCAGCCCTGTTGTAGCAGGGTATTCCCTAGAAACAGTGGCCGGCCAGACATGATTATGTACGGCCGACCACTCTCTTAGGTCGGCCAGCTACCATTTTTGTACTGGATGTGGTACTTTTACTGCAGAATAGAGCAGAACCTAAGGCCAAAACAGAACAATTTTTTTACTATAAACAGAGCAGGTTCTAGCAACAAACAGAGAGGTTTTCGGAGGGTATTGTCAGTTGTGCACATGTTGTTCCTCGCCTCTCGTCTATGTCCATTAGATTTGTAGCTTTTAGATTCGTATGTTATAATTAATATGTTGCTTTGGTTTCATTCGAATTTGTAATAGTTAATTAATTCATTCATTCAATTGTGTTGTAATAATTAGTTAATTAGGGCATTCATTCAGACCGTCTGGTACGAGGGCAAACTTGTAATATTTGTATGTCTTTCAATCTCCATTTCTTTCTCTCTTTTATTTATATGCTTACCGTGGTTGTATATAGCTTCATATTTTTTGTTTCATATCATTACCATGCCTTGGATCCATTTTTGCATGCACTAAAACTCAGCTAATCATGCATGATGCTCTTACCAATTCCTAAATGATTATATGCGCTACCTCATGCTTTGAGTTACTTCACATGACATGTTAGTAGCCGAATTTATTAGTTGCATTTTGTATGTGTTCCATTAGCCATTTTGCATATAGGATCATGCATTTTTCTGAATTGCTTTCTTTTTCTTTGGCTTGCCTTGGAGTACTAGGTGAGCATTTTTGCTTTAGCATATTACA